TGTGTGAGGACGGCGAGGGACCAGGCAGTGTTTCCTTTGCTCTGTTGCCCATGGAGGTGCTGTAGATTGGAACCGATTTGATGGCACCTCACAATAACGGCAACAGTGAGATTGTAGTAAGAGTGCCCAACCAGGTCGTCAGGGGAAAAGACAATGGAAGTCATGAGAAATCCTTCATGCTCTCTCCCTCCCCCCACAAGGGTCACCCTGACCACACTCACCACGTGGCAGGGAAAACCCAGCAACGTGCACGCCATGTTTCAGCCAGGAAATCTTGTCCACGACTCAATGCCCGTGGTTCTTTGGTGCCACACAGGGACCCCTTACATAGAACATTCCAAAACGGTAGGCTTCCAGAAGGAAAACCGTGTTCAGCACAAACCACAATGCTTGCTCACATGTTGCTGTGTTAAATGGTGGGAGCGTGCCGGAAATCTACGTTCCTAGCCCCCAGCCAAGGGTCATCCTTGTAAGCAGGCCCATCTAGGTACACCACCCTCAAGCCTCCAATACGAACTCTTTTCTGCAGAGAGAATGTGCATGGAGAAGATCCGTTTAGACAACCATTTGGAAATAGCTACTAAAATTAGAGACCTGCATGTCCATTGGCCCAACAAGGCCATTCTCAGGTCTAGTGTATTTCAGAGAAACTTTGACTGTCTTCACATGCTCCCGTTTGTTCCTTGTAGTCTCTTATCTAATTACAAAAATGTGAAAAGCAGCCAAAACATTGACCAACAGAATGAGTTAATAAAATCATGGCCCATTCGAGTAATCGGATGTTATGTAGTGATGAAAGTGAACAAACTAGAAATATATGTTTCAAAATAAATCTCAAAACACAATGATTTCAACATGGATGGACCTTGAAAACACTATGCACAATGAAATAAGTCATCCAGGCAGGAACAAATACTGTACAATTTCACAAATCTGGAGTAAGGAAATATATAGCAACCAGAGATCATTAGTGGTCGGTGGGGCAGAGGTGTTTGTTCAGGTAGCATTGAGTTTACATTGATGGTGATGGAAAATTCAGGAAGGGATGGTAATGTGTCTGTGTACCATGAAGAATATGATCAGCATCACCATAGTAGTTACTCCATAAATAACTGTTGTATCAATAAATAGATGATGCATAATGCCATTTTTATAGTCTCAAAAATACTCAAAATGTTTTTTGCAAAAATTCCTAAGCATTATTTATGGACATAGATATGTATATATAGGAAAAATATTATGACAGGCAGACAAATTACAAAAGCCATACTCAAGAAGTGACTACTTCTGGGTAGAGAAGAGAATAAACTCTGAGGTAGATACAAATAAGGCTCCCACTATATCTGTGATACTTCAGTTTCTTAAAAACCTCTGATGCAAACATAACAACAGGTCAAGAAATGACACAACTAGGTGGTGGGTACATAGGTATTTGTAATATTCTCTATTTTGTGTATGCTTAAAATAACGCATAGATGTGATCACTGAAGATATGGGTGCTGAACAAAGTGTGGTGAGGAAATCAGAAAGTATAGCATCTGGAGTCTTACAGGATTGTCTTAAATCAAGCACCCATCTAAGCGAGGTGTCAGCCAAGTCCAACTGGAACACATTAGTCCATGTGATCCAAGGATCACTAATAATAAAATCCATATTCGGAGGAGATCATTGTATTGGAGCTTAAATTCTGAACACCTGGTTTGCAAAGGTTATGGATGACAGTGGAAGCCCAAAATTCATTAGCAGAACCCCCACATGGATTAAGCTTCCACTGAATTCCCTCTGACCATTGACCAAGGATGTCAACCGTTTTGCCCTCAGAGAGAGTACACTGAAAAGTGGATTACTTCCACACACACCCTGGGCCAGCCCACGGAAGGGCACTCTCTCTCAGGGGGCTTACCTGGGTGCGTCCTTGATGCAGGTCACCATACTGAGTGCTTCATGACCATGAGTCAGGCCCTGGAGGCTTCAGGGAAGCTACTGGACCAATATCGTAAACTCCTCTGCCTAAGGTAACATATGTGTTCCAATCATAGGCCCCACTCCCACTTCAGGAGTTCCACTGGTAACTGGGATCTGTTGGTCTGCCAAGAACCATGTCTTTGTGACAGTTTTCTTTGACCTCCATGTCCTTTATTAAAGTTCTGTATCTCACCAAGCTTGTGGACACCATTGTGATCTCAGGCTACTGGTCTCCCTCATCCAGATCGTATGTCTCTGTAAGTTATCGTGTCCTTGTCCCATTTAAGACTTAATAAATGTTCTCTTTAACTAACAATTTTAAATGCATTTAGAAGGCACCCTAGCCAGGGCTAATCTCTCGAGCCACTAACCGCCACCCTCTGCAATCAGAGATTATCTCCTATTTGTCTGAATATTCATAGTAATGGGGGGGCAGCATGTTGAATGGCAACTAACTCCACTTTCCTCATCCGTCTGCTAGATGGTAAGACTCCTGAGAAATGGATCTTCTCTTCTTTGCATCCTTCAAGAAGCCTTCCTAACGAATACATTTCCATCACACATTGAATGCGTGGGAGGCATGTCTAGCTACATAAATCGCTGGCTCCAGTACAAAAGGAAAAAAAAAAGTATCTAGAATTTCAATGTGGCAATCGCAGAATATTCCACCAAGCCTCCCTATGAGCCTGGCTGCACCATGGTGAAATTGCTTTTCTGCTGACCAAAAGGTTCGCAGTTCACACCCACCACCTGCCCCTAGGGAGAAAGCTGTGGCCGTCTCCTTCCATAAAGACGTACAGCCATGGCAACCCTATGGGGAAGTTTACTCTGTCAGAATTGACTTGACAACAAGGGTGTGTTGGTTTGGGCCCCTTTAGGGTACAGAACTTTATGCAACTGCACAGGCCACACCTCCATGAAGTCAGTCGCAAGGTCAGGTTTTGAAGGCAAGACCCAACATGTCTGGTTTATTTTAAAAAATAGGAGGTGGGGAGGATCCTGGCCATGCACCAGAATCCATGCACATTGACGTAGCAATTGGGTACACAATATCTTTGAGACCCCAGATGGAGATCCTTTAAGACCTCATTGGGTACGTAACCCAAATGTATGGGTTACAACACCCAACTCCAACACCTTGGAGTTCAGTGTGGCCTTGACCTGAAGCTTACTTAAGTTACAGCATAGAGCAGAGAGTTACAGCATAGACCTTAACTTACAGCATAGAGCAGAGAGTTACAGCATAGACCTTAACCTCCAGCATAGAGCAGAGAATTACAGCATAGACCTTAACCTCCAGCATAGAGCAGACGTGATGAGTGCCATGCCCTCCAGACTCTCTTCTTCCATTCTGCCCCCTGCATCTTGGACATGGCGCATCCTGAGTCCACCAGGAGAACTGGCTCAGGGGATGGCAGACATGCATGGAAGGACCCTGGGTTCCTGAAGGTGTGTGGAGTGGAGCTCAGTAAGATTCAGCTGGGACTATTCCCACGGTTGTCAAGTTGGTTCCGATTCATAGTGACCCAGTGGGACAGAATAGAACTGCCCCCTAGGGTTTCCAAGGCTGTAAGTCTTTACAGAAGCAGACTGTAGAGCCTCTGGCTGATGAATTCTAACCACAGATTTTGGGTTAGCAGCATAGCACTTTAACCACTGCATCACCAGGGAACCACTTGGACCATGTGGCAATCCAAATTAGTGTGGGCTTGTGGACAAAGCGGCTTAGCTTGGTTGACCTAGTGATATAATGGAAACAATGCTTTGATTTCATCCAACACCCCAAAACGAGACCTTCTAGATAAGGGACTCAACAATTGTGGGGCTGGTGTAAGGCCAGGCAAGGTCTTGCTCTGTTGAGACAGGTCGAACCATCTTCATGTCACTTAGCAACACTAACAGTCTAAGGTGAGGCTGGTCTAGGGCCCTGGACCCTGCACACTGACTGGTAGGTATAGGACATGGATCTGCCCCAGGGAAGAAGCTTGGCTTAGAGGGACGTGGACTGTGTTTGTTCTCTGACTCAGTGGAACTCAAGAACCTGCTTAGGATGTTAACGTTCCCCAGCAGTCTCGAACGAACCCCCTGCCTAGAAGTACAAATGTCCTCAGGAAGCCCAGAAACCTGCTCTGGAAGCCTAGATAGGATGCTAACAACTGGGCTCTTAGAAAAACCCGTTCTCCTCCCAAGAGCCTAGGAGATGGCATAGGCAACATCATTGCACCTGAAAACCTGCTGGGCTCCATCAGATGGGTCAGCGGAGAGGCTGTTTCAGGATCGAAACCCCAGAGTCACCTCATTCTCAAGGCTACAAGCAGCTGCCAGGGCATTTTAGGTCTCAAATCCAACCAGCTACACACTGGATACCTGCCAGGAGTCAAAGATCAGGTGTTGCATAACCCAGCACATGACCCTCAGCAGGAAATACACACAGCTTTCTTTGGCAACTGGCCTTTCGCTTGTATAAGCACATTCTACTTGAATTGCTTTGTGCATTCTTTAAATAGACACAATTAACAAATGCCCCTGCCTGGCATTCACATTTCCATGCAGAGTGGCTTAGTGCTCGAGCAGAAGGTAATTCAGATACTGAACCCCACATCCTAGAAAACTGGGGGTAAACAGGGAGGAATGTGGAATTAGCCCAAGGGTGCAGCCACATAACTGGAAAGACATCGAAGGTGTTCTTTACCAATAGCACCAAGCATTTTCAACACTCTGTTCCATGTCCCCAGGAAAGAGCCTGGTCCAATCTATGAAATGGGCTGTGATCTACAAGGTCGGCAGTTTGAAACCATCAGTGGCTCCTTGGGAGAAAGGCAGGGCTGTCTACTCCCGTAAAGAGTTACAGTCTCAGAAACCCACAGGGGCAGTTCTACCCTGTCATTTAGGGTCACTATGAGTCAGCATCAACTGGATGGCAGTAAGTCTATTAAAGCTATTTAAAAGGGATATAAGGATATAAGCTATAAGGAACATGCCTGAGGCCACAGGAAGATTAACTGTCAGGGGCAGGATTGTGTTTAAATCTCAACACCCCCATTGTGTTTTCAGCCCACGTTCACACCTCTTCCTTTTAATGACAAAGAACCAGCCCTGGAGTCTACAGGGCCCAAACTGCACTTATCTACTGGTCCGACTCTTTTTCAAAGCATGATGTTGTACAGTCAGAGGAAGAAAGGGGATACACCGCACAGAGTCCTTAAAACACTCATGAAAAATGATCCTTGGACTGAACAGCAGGTCAGGGGGAGGAGAAGGGCCCTGGCAGCAGGTCTTGGGGCTCGAAACCAGGTTAAAGCTTCTTGCAGAAAGATTGGAAGTGGCTCCTCTTCCCCTACAGCAGAAACCCCCCTGGGACTGCGCACCCACCACGGGCCATGGCCGTGGGAGAAACAGCTTCCCATGGGAAAGTGCTGCTCCAACCCTGTTCCCTTCAGCTCTCCGACGAGGTGGAAAGAATGGCTGTAATCCGGCACCAGGGGCTAAGACGGTGAGAAAAGAAACATAAGCAGAGTGCTATCCGGAGTCAACACTCCCTCATCCTGCCATTCTGCGGGGCTCTGGGACCAGACTCAATGAACGCAGGTTGCTCAGACGCAGATTCCTGTCAGGCTAACGTTGAAAGGCGTGTGGAGGTGGAGCAGGAGGTAGACGTCCTACCGGCAATGCTCCCAGCTCTGGGAATGTTCATAGTTTCCAAACTCACAAAACCTACAACAGTGTCATGGTCGGGCTGCCTCTGGGGAGGACCAGACGTGGAGGAAGAGAGACAGTAGCCTTCGTTACAGAGATCAGAGAGCAGCGTCAGAGAGCGCAGGCTGGTGAGGGTGTATGAGTTTCTGGTGTTCTGTGCCCTGCTACTTATCCGCCACGCCTGTCCTTGCACACAGCAGCCCCACACCAAGCCGTGAACGGGCAGCTTCATTGCACACAGCCTGGCCAGCCATCCTGAGAGCTCCCACAGAACAGTTTACTCCAAGCTCTTCAACATGTGGGGCTCCGTTTGTGGCTGGTGTCTGAACCTTAATGATAATATTGTTCATGCTTCCCACTCTAGCTGCTCCCTTCTATGGTTCCTTGATTTTAGGAGGACACCACCTCCCCCTCCCCGCCCCCCAGGACATCTGTCTGCGTTTCAGTGCCTGAGTTCCTCCCCACCAACACAGCTAGCAAGTCCAACTCCAGCTCCTCCTCGGGTGTGTGTGTGACCCAAGCAGTGGAGAGCCACACTGTCATTGTGTCTCATTTGGAGGGGGGGTTGTAAATTTGTTGCATATATTATGTGTACCTTGACTTTGCGTTAAGTGGACATGGTTAACCTCATAACCTGGGATTATTGCTTCTGTCCTAATCCTCTTGCTGTCCTTGATAGACGACAGTTTCGAAAGAACCCCCCTGCTCAACTTCTGTTAAGAAGTTCTAGTCAGCCCCCAAAGAAACGCCAGGCTTTGTTTGCTTTGGTTCATTTCAAAGAACTGGATTCATTTTCAGCTACTGAGCATCAACTGAAGGCCAGGAATCATCGTGTGCACTGGAAACCTGAGCTCAATGGGGAGAAAGGTGAGGGCACAGGGTTCTAAGTCACCATGACTTGCCACTAAGGGACATGGAGAAGAAGCAGCCTGATAATGACTGAGCTGAACGCGAAGAATAACAGAATAGCAAGCAGAAGCAAGGGAGTAGGAATGGTAGGGAGCCCATGCTCAGCAGTGGGAGCTGTAAGAGGAGGTGAGACCTGGTTAAGTTCTTTAAGGCGCATCCCTTGGGCTAAAAATGGGAAGCGAGCAGGGGCAGCCACCAAGGGAGAAGAGGAGAGAGAGACAGGCAGAGCCGCCTCCCGTTGAGTCTTACAGTCCATGGTAAGCAGTTTGGGCTTTATCTGGGAGTACACTCTGGGGGAGCGTGTTTTCATTATAGGTCCTTGAGCCATGGAATTGTGCAGCTGGGGAATATCATGAAGGCAAACTGCCCCTCCATCATCGCCAGCCTCTGCTCCAGACCTTGGTATTCTGGTGTGTGTGTGTGTGTGTGTGTGTGTGTGTGTGTG